GCCAGTAACGTAATTCTAAGTGAAGAGTCTTGTATCTACAGTTCGTCATTTTAACTCGCGAACGTGGATTCCAGGCTGACCTTTTACCTAAAAGTTCCAAATATGCGACGTAATCTGCCTCAGGAAGGGGATTTTGGTTCAGACAAACGGGACGGTAGCCACATATATAGATTTAATTTATAATTATTCTTAATGGTTCTTCTAAACTAAGCAAGTGGTCTTGGCGGGATGGAACTGTTAGAACAGGTTTGCAGAGAGGGTTATTAAGAATAAATTAGAAATATTCCTATTCATTTTTGCGCAGTTTAGATTGAGGGCATATGGCCTTACAGATCCCTTTGGCCAGTTGGCCTGCTTGTTCATCACTGTCATTTTAAGGGAATCGTCTGTAATTGAGCAAATAAATACCTTTAGGTGCAACAACAAGACAATGAACAATTAAAAGTCAGAAGGTTAAAACTGAAGATGAATTTTCGTTGCACAGTTCACAAGAAAAGAATGCTATCGGGTCTCTAATTGTGTCTCGGGCACGGGAATAGGCTTGTTAAGAATCGTCTCTACGAAATTATTCATTTTAACGTTTATCCGAATTACCACATGGCCAAAGTCTACACGTCAAGCGTTTTGCAAGTCTTACAAGACAAGTGACAGGGGTCGAGGTAACATTGCTGACCGGCAAAGAATGGATTATGGCAATGTACGTGTCACAGGCCATTAAAAAATATTGTGTGACGAAACACAATAGATCCTCTATTTCATTTCGACATCTCTAACTTTTATTTGTTATAGTGTGGCCCGTGTTCATTTATATTTTGTAACATATAGGATGAACTATGTCTGCCATAATTAAGCCAACAAAAAAATTTGGACATGTGTCATTAATTGTTGAACAACCCTTTATAAAGCAAACAGACCAATTTTAATTATATGAATTTGAAGGGGATTTTCCTAAGTAGACCGGTTTGGGACTATTTAAACCTTATGTTTACCAACTGTTATATTGAAACTGCAAATGGTCAGACCCCAGAGACACTCGGACCCTGGAAAGGAAAAAAGTGATGAAACCGGTTCCGCGGTACCATCACTGGATGTCTAATGGCTTGTAGGAAAATGACTCAGACGTCATTCCTCCATTTGCAAAATCGCCCTGTGCATAATGGGCTAAATAAACCGTTCGAAACGGGCAACGATCGTTTCCAAGTCGTAACCTTATAACACTAGAAAGTAATCACAATACATAATGTAATTAGCATGAGTCGCGATAACGACTGTTGGACGTAATTTCTTTTCTGTTCCCTTTATCTGATGTAAAGGATTTGCGTTATTAGCCGAGAGTTGTTCTTAGCAATTTAATCTGGTTGCCTTATGCTAGTTTAGTGAAATTCAAAGATGGAGATGATGATACTATTTTGCGCCTTTTGGTTTATTGTACTATTTCTAGTTCCTTAGTTCAATTCAATTGACACGATTTTTCTTTTAAGACGTAGTAGTTAGCTACAATTCTTGGTACCCTAGGTTATTAGGAGAGATACTGAGCGGTTGATCTCACTCGAATATATGGGTGGCAGTTTTTTCCTCGTCATAGCATAACGTACGGGGTCATCGTTGGATATACCCATGTTGTTTAGGTGTTTTTTGCACATTTTTTTTTAAATGTCAGTGACAGGTATATAACCCTATCATTCCTCTATGTTTTACCCTGTCTAGCTGTGTTTGCCAAAGTGGTAAACTGGACTGCTGTGGCTAACTTTTTAGTTATTCAATCAGCTTGCAGCACTTCTGTATAAGTAGGGGCTCAGCCTGCTTAAAGCAGAATCGTCAACAAGATCTCAAACAACCTCACTATCGGAGCAAGCCGCAAGCATTAGCTAAAGTTAGCTAAAGCAACAAAGGTACTTGCAGCATCATCCGGCTCTTTGACACCAGTCTATTAAGAGGACCTGCAGCAAGTGAGGAGAATATGGTGCACCGAGAGAAGAGGACACCAGTTGGAATGCTGTTATGTTTTCTGATGAGTTGCGTTTCTATCTGTATAGTGATAACAGAAGAAACTGGAACTCACAGACAGAAACGCGACTCATCAGAAAACATAACAATAACCAATTAGTGTTCTCTTCTATGTGTTCGGTGCACCATATTCTCCTGACTTGCTAGTGGCAGGCTTTGCTGAAGGTCGTCTCAAAGGGGCATACAGTGTGATGCCAACTTTTACGAATCGTTTGTGTTGATAAGTCCTTGCCTAAACATTTTGTACTTCATTTAGAATCTGGCAGGCACTAAGGCAAAGGTTTCATCTTGAAGTAATGACAATATTTCTGTCTTCCCTAAGCATCGTTGAGATCTACTACTAGGCCTCCTATTGGCACTACCAGGCTAACAGAATCAGGATAAAGCCCGGGAGACCATGCTCAGAGAAACACCATCGGCCTCTGCGATATGTACTTGGTGACCTCAACAGACAAGTTTGATTATCAACAATCTACCAATTGAACAGGTTGACGAGGTGGCATACTTAGGACATTTGATCTAGGAACAAGTCTTCTTAGAAGAATCTCAATAACATAGAAAAATTATAGGGTCCTTAGGAATATATTCAAGTTGGCCAAGTCAAAAAAATATATAATTCAATAATTGCATGCTTGATATATCATATGCAGACCTGATCCGTAACGAAGAATGATAAGGAAGAGCTAAGAGTTGGTAAGCAATGGAGTATGGTAGGTGTAAAATTTAAAGATAAAATAAGAAATGAGCAATTAGGAAAAGGAATCAGTTGACAGGTTCAGCTCTACTCAAACGGAACAATACTGGTTAGTGACTAAATTTTGGTGGTCAAGTTTGGACACAATGTGTGCCAAATTCCAGATGAACAAATTGATGAATAATATTTTTTTTTAAATTGAATGTAATAATTTGGAATAAATGTTACTAGACTGTAACATGAACAAGTTAACGCATTGACCATACCAAACATAATTAAGCATATTTTGTGCAATTGTCATTTTAGACAGGCATTTTGTACAGTAAGTCAAAATGTGCATGAAAGAACCTGAACCATGGTGTGGTGACCACCCTCAGTTATGATGGAATCCACTAGGTTTCATCACCAATTCAGGAATGACCCCGCTCTCCGCTCTGCAGCTAATCAGTTAGGAACAATTCCATACATAAGCAGGGGGGGGGTCACTGCCCCACTGACTTGAGACTCATCTTCTCAATGAACTCTCGCTGTACACAGCAAACCAACACAGCAAGGACTCTCGCAACAACAGCCTCGTTCTCACCTTCTTGACAGCCGACTTGGCTACCTGCTGCACGACTCTCTTCTTCCGCTACCGAGTCAATGGACTCACTATATCTGAACACTGCCCCGGACCTCAACCATCGGCTCTACACACATGCACGCGCGTGCATACACACACACAACACTGACCCTTATCAGGGCCACCAAAACTTCCAGGCACTAAACATGTTATTACCAACAAAATTATAACACTCCTTATTACATTATCCTGGAGAATGATGTACACCAACTCAGATATCAGATCAATACCAGCTGGCACCCCACAAGGAAGTATTCTCAGTCCCATCCTGTATATCATTTATACCACTGATTTTCCTATTTAGCCCAACACCAACATTACCACTTAACAGATGTGCCTTAAACAATGATGTCCTCAGACCTCCTTAATCCCTCATATCGAGTGTTAACATTTGTTGGTTTCTCTTAACACAAGTCCTCCTGGTATACAGCTGACAATAGGTCTGTAAGTTTTTCATTTGGCCCTTTTTTTTGTTGGTGTTTTGTATTGATTGTTATATCTGTAAAACAATTACAATGGTAAAAATGCTGTAAGAACAAAATTGACATTAAAAACATGTGAGGAGAAATCACTCAGTGGGGAGCCTCCTTTAGAATAAATAAACAATTACCACTTTTTCAATTTTTCTTCATCACTACACTACAGCAACATGTGGCCAACAGTGTTTCAGTTGACAGGGATGATGGATGTATGGTAGTGGGACTGAGCTGACGGGCCTGGGCAATGGGACGTGTGGGAAGGAATTTTTTGTATTAGGCTTTTGCTACTTCTGGAACAACGGGAATATTAAGGTCTCAGTGTTTAGTGAGGTTTAATACCTAATAAGAAGGGTTAGCAATTTTTCTTAGGACTTTTGATTGGCATCTTTGGATGCGTTGGGAGTTAGAATGCTTGGCTGACCCCAAGGTTCCATGCAATAAGGCCACATAGGTTTGAGAACCATGATGTATATTAATCTTGTGTAATTAAGTAGAAGTTTGAACCATCTGTTGAGTAATGGTGATAACAGTTTGTAATGTCTGTTTAGTTCGTTTTGTTTTAGTCTTGTGTGTAGATTCCAATTAAGTCATTTGTCCAGGTGGAGTCCCAAGTTGCGAGAATATATTGAAGATGGTTAGCATTAGCCCATTGTAGATTGTTGACAATTCCACCATTAATTGTATAAAAATAAGACTGCAACTAGGTGGTTTACAATGTATGTAAAACTGAAAATCATCTGCATAAAGATGTTTGGAACGAGAAAGCAAGGAAGATATATTCTTTAGGTAGAGTGAAAATAACAATGGCCTAATGACTGAACCTTGAGGAACATCATTAAGCAAAAATCTAGAAGAACAATTACCATGACGACGTATTTAAATCTATTAGAAAAAAAGTAAATAATCGTAGAGCAAACAACTATGTAGAGGTCAGTTTGTTACAAAAAGTACTAGGACTGTTGCAAAGTTCTATGCCTAGAAGGATGTGTTACTTCGAAGAGGCTGATAAGGACCTAGGAGAGAAGACCTGCCACAAAATGACATTTTTTCTTCACTTATTTTTTCTAGTGTTAAGATAATGTGGTAGAGAATGCTGATTTCATGACATTTCTTAAATTGCTGAGAAGTATATAAAATGTCTAATAGTATCGTTTATAATTAATGTTAGATAATAGATGTTTATAAAATAATTTAAGCCTAAAAAATATAAAATTTTATTGATTTATTCAACTCCATTTATTAAGTCACATATAATAACAGTATGACTGAATATACAGTCATAAGTAAATCACTTTAGTAAATTGATCAACAAGGAAAGTTCCATTTCTATAAAACACTCCATCCAAAACTCTGACATTTGTTTGAACAAATGGTTCCTCTTTTTTTAAATGTTTTACCCTGTATTTTGTACCATAAGAGTTATCACAGATGAAGAATTCACCCTCATTATATATAACAGATGGAACAATGATTTTGTACCTTTTTTCTGGGTTATTTTCTTTAACAACAGTCTCAATTTGTGTGGTAGATTTCCACTTGACCAAAGGCCTGGTTGTCGACTTGACCTCCCAGTTTTCAACAGCTGGGGCTAATATGAAAAACTGGTCTGTTTTCACTTCTCTTCCCGTTGCAAATTCTAAAAGAGACCTAATCATATTATCCACAGAAGCACCAATAAAGCAAAATCCTTTTGTAACGATAGTACTGCCATCGTACAGGCTCTTTTTGGATTTAATTTTCTCCGAATCCTGACCAGAAAAGCACAGGAGACAAAACTGTTCCTCTGCATCTAAACCTAGGATGTAAGAATCTTGTTCAATGTAGAATAAATGAATAACTATTAAATTCAAAGCAAGCTCTGGCATCAGCAATTGGCCAATTGCTAGATCAAAAACAGAATTGTTCCCATTGGATTGTAATGTACGAACCATTTTTTTACCAAGATTGTTAATTGCAAAATTATTAACATTAATGGATGAGATTCTGTTCACTCTTTTATCAAAATTTACATTTTCCACCAAATTAATTTTATTGCCTACTAGAGCCAACACATAGTTAAGTGCAGGAGACCACAAGACAGTCACTGGAAAATGTACAATAACGTATTTCATGTTTAACGTTTTTGTAGAAATATCGTTCGCCACAATTATTACTTTTTTCACTTTCAATGAATCAAACGTATTATGAACTGGCTTACAGACTAAATAGTACACATTATCATCAGAATGACTGCTTATCAGTTCTAAAAGTGAGGTCTGCTTGTCTGATAGAGATCTTAAACCGGATTTAACTTCGTGTGTAAAAAGATTATGACTTTTGCGAATTTTTGAAGCCACCTTGTAAGCTTTTTTCAATAAAAGACCTGATTTGGGCTTTTTCTTAAAGTTTGGAGTGTACTTATTTTCGACAATATGGTTTTCATTGTCTATTTTATCGTGTGATGATCCAACCTCAGGAGGCTGAAGTTTTTTAGGGATGGCTTCATCTTCAGTCTGTATGATATTTAAATCACTTTTTTCTTTTGCAAAAAGATTTCTTTTCGGGTTTATTACAGATCTCTGACTTGAACTTATTACAACAGGATCAGATTTATGTTGAATTTTTCTTTCTTCCTTTTCTTTTGGATGTTTAAATTGACTTAAAGAATGTGAAGACTCGATCTTCATATTTTTCATAAAATAATCAGGGAGCATGTCGATGACTTGAGATGCAGGCATGAAAGATCCAGAAAGTAAAGCTTCATCGGGTGTCTGTGAATCTTCTATTTCAAAGTCTTTCATGTTAATACTCTTTGTGGGCGATTCTTCTGTTTCAATTACGTAACGCTGTTCGGTTTTGCTTCCTGGCGAGCTGGGATCATCTATCATTTGATCATCATCTTCAAACGTATAAGAAATCTCAAGTTTATTTTTATTCAAAATTTTTTCTCTGGGATAAGGCGAATTTTCAATCTTTGGGTAGTTCAAATTAAAAGAAGACCTTTCAGGCGTTTCTTCTGTTTCTATTGTATAAAGATTGTTCATTACACTTTCTGGTGAACTTAAATCTTCAATTTTGTGATATGTGGAAGAATTGATTTTCTTTAGATTTAACATTACTTGTTTTGGGGAACTTTCTATCAGAAAGTTTTTCCCAATATAAACTGGCCTTTCAGGTGTTTCTTCTGATTCGATATTATAGGAATAATTATTTTCACTTTCCTGTGAACTTAACTCTTCAATTTTCTGATCTTTATGAGAATTAATTTTATTTGAAGTTAGCAGTACTTCAACTTTTGGTGAACTTTCTATTTGAAAGTCTTTCATACCAAAAACTGGCCTTTCAGGAGTATGTGCCATTTCAATATTATATAAATATGTATTTTCACTTTCTGGCGAACTTAAATCTTCAATCTTCTGATGATTGAAACCGTTAAGTTCCTCTGGATGAAGCAGTACTTCTTCAAGGTTTTGGGAACTTTCTATCTGATAGTTTTTCATATTAAAAACAGGTTTTTCAGGAGTATTCTCTGTTTCAATAGTATATAGATATTTATTTTCACTTTCCTGTGAACTTAAATCCTCAATTTTGTGATCTATGTAAGGATTATTTTTCTTTTGATTTAGCAGTACTTCAACCTTTGGCGAGTTTTCTATTTGAAAGTCTTTCGTATTAAAAACAGGCCTTTCTGGTGTACGTTCCACTTCAATATTATATAAATATTTATTTTCACTTTCTGGTGAACTGAAATCTTCAATTGTATTATGTTTGTGCTTAAAGGAGCAGGCAGAGAGAGACTCTTGTGAATTTTCTATCTGGAATTTTTCCAAGTGCAAGTTTGGTTTTTCAGGTGTTTCTTCTGTTTCAATCACATACTGTCCACCAATTTCACTCTCCGACGAACTGACATCCTCTATGAGACGGCTCTCAAAAGTAACAGATTGTGAAGTTTGAATATTGTCATTATATTCTTCTACATTTTTTATGACTGGTGAATCCCCCTTGCAAATGTTTGATTTATTATTTAATAAAATTGAATTTTTATCAACTTTTTTCTTCCTTCTTGTTCTTATTTCTTGTTCAGCGTTTTGTCTTCCTTGGAATAGTGAAACGTCTTTCCACTGAGCACAGATGTTCTTTAAGTCTTTTGACTTTTTTTGTTTTGGAGGCGTAGGTGGTATCACAGCGTCATCTTCTGCAATTATCGCCAGTCGTTTCTTTGATATGTGCCTTGTTTTTGCACAATATTTTGTCCTATGAGAGACAGTACAATCTAAAGTTGAAGAACTTGAACATATTTTTGTCGGTGTGGTTTCCCATTTGGTCAAATTGTTTTTTAACATATGCTCATCTCTTGGGACTTTGTCGTTTAACTGGTCTGTTTTTAATTCTTGAAAAATGTGTTTTTTCATTGATCTTATCTTCCTGGATTTAACGCTCGGGGGTGTAGCCTCCAATACGGACTGTTCTAGTTCCATCTGTCGACTTCCCTCATTTGTTGTTTTTAACTTGTTTTTACATTTTGTGGCTTTTAAATTGTCTGAACTTAAAGTAAAATCCAAACTTGGTTTTCTTATATGGTCATTTTTATCTAAATGCTTTTTACTTTCAAGTGTTCTAGTCGCAACACTTTTTACGTTTGACTTGTAATAAAGTGGGTTGCAGGTTCTCACAGATGTTGAATTTTCAGTTTTGTCAACGTCATATGAGGTGCAAGGAAAAAGGGTTTTTCGATTTCTACTTTTCGCCTTATTGGAATTTAATAAATCAACTTTATGGAAATCAAAGTAAGAGACTTCTGAATAGTTATTATTTTTAACAGCTGATTCAACAATTTTGTCAGACGAATCGAGACTGTCAATTTTCCTCACCGTATTGCTACAAAATGAAAACTTTTTTTCATCCATTGTACCTACGTCTGGGAACGGCTTCTTGTTGGCAGAACTGGCTACCTTGATGAAATTCGTATCTAGCTTTGGGTAGGAAGACTTTAGCCTCTTTGCTGACTTACGAAGCTGGTTGGACTTTCTCTTTCCGCTTAACTGGACAAGTTCCGGAGTCTGTTGATAAGGCGGTGTACAGAAACTGTAATCACTCGGTCCACTACCATCTCCTTCGCCTGAAAATTCCCCTTGTTTATTCAAGACAATCAATAATAACTTGTGATTATGCCAATTATATAACTTTACCCTTATGCTCCATATTGAAACTATTCTGAGACGATTGTTTTAAACTTGTAATAAAAGGAAGTAGTAACTTTTGAAATAATGAAAATGAAATTCAATATAAACAAATTATAAGAAGGTAAACAAACTTCAATTTGTTATGGGCTCACCTTTTATAACATACAAGTATATAATTTATTTATTAACGTATAAACGTAACAAACAAAAAAACACTAATTTTTTTAAGACTTTATGTCATTACATACAACGGGAAGGTATTATTATCAATGTCTCATCAGAATTCAGATGTTTTCAATACCAGCTGACAACTGATAACGTTACATTTTTCTTAATTTTTTATTTAATTTAATTAATTAATTTATTTTTTTTTTAAATTTGAATACTACTTATTACTTAAGTACATAAATAGTCAGATACCATAAAAATAATAGCATGAAATAAAACTTGAAACATGAAAATACAGAAGAATAAAAAGTCCTTTACTAAACTGCTCAAAATGATTAGGGATATTGCCGATTTTGTATTATTTACTTTCCCTAGAATTTTTATTATATTTTTTATTATCAATTGCATTAAAATTTATTAGAAATTATTATGTTTTTTAATGACGGAAAATGTAATTAAGGGATTTTGACAAATAACAAAAAGATTTTAATTCCATAAATTTTTTTTATTGGACACAATAGTTTTTTTAACAAGTAATACCGTGTGTAATGTCTTTTGTTCACTACAACCTTGGGCACCTTTTAGGTATACTGTTAATAAGGTTGTCACTAATTTCATGAGGAATTTCACTCCTTAGATGTTGCAACGCTGCACTCAGTAGTTGCAGGTCAATTGGCTGCAGATGGTGATCAAAAAGCCTTCCCTGCAACGCATCCCACATGTGATCACTGGGATTGAGGTCTGGAGACAATGGGGGAAGGGGCAGATGGGAAAATCCCAGGTTTTCTAAACATTAGTGAACAACTCTGCCTCTATGAGGTCTGACATTATCATCCAGAAATCGAAAATCCTACCAATGAGATCCCTGACTAGAGGATGAATTCCTCATTAATACCTTGGACATAATGGACTGCAGGGAGGTTGCCTTCAACAATATGGAATCCAGTTCCTCCTCCAGTGTAAATCCCAGCCCAGACCATTACATCACCTCCTCCAAATTGTACTGAAGAGGGCACGAACTGGGGTATTATAAGCATCCCTTGTTCTGTTTGGCATCTGCTGTCACTATATAGACAGAAACACGACTCATCAGTAAACATAACAGCATTCCAATTGGTGTTCTCTTCTAGACGTTCGCTGCACAATATTTTCTTGAGTTGCTGGTGGTGAGCTGTTGCTGCAAATTGTCTCAATGGGGCATACGATGTGAGGCCAACTTCGCACAAACAATTACAAATCATTTGTATTAAGGGGCCTGGTAGTGGATCTCAGCACATTTTGATGCTAATGGAGGACAGAAATATAGTCATTGCTTCAATACGGAACCCTTTCCTTGGGCCTTGCCAAAACATCTTTTTACCTCATTTAGGATCTGACGGGCACTAAAAGTCTATTGGCACTTCCAATGTCTCAGAATTGGGCTAAAGCCTGGGAGACCATGCACTGAGAAACACCACCTGCCTCTGCGATATCATAAATTAGGTTCAATATGATGTCTTTCTGTGGTTAAAGACAACTGGATTAAAATGGAGAAAAGATGTTTGCTTACAAAATGAATAATCTTCATGTTTTTAAATAAATCCGTTACTAAAAATGAGGATTAACATTTGTTTGTATTTTCTACTTTGCTTATCCAGTTAACAAGAGTATTTAGTACCCCATCGACCCTCAAATAGCCAAAATTCCTTTGTATCCTGGTACAGAAAATATCATCAGGTTGTTGTTTCCCCAGGTTTTGAAAATTTTGGATGCATTCACTCACTAATTTTGATGTGGTTTTTGTGGTTCTTTTACATGCTAGTGCTTTAATAGCTGTTTGGCTATATGAGGATTTTTTTTGTCAGTGTAACCTCCTTTTAAGATTTTCTAAGGCACAAGCATTGATGGCATATGCCAGCTTAAAAAACCGAGGTATTTAGGTAGGTACCCTAATGTGTTTCATTGTTCACATTTTAAGCTCATACAAAAAACACCCAATCCTTGCTCATATTGTTAGGGATGGTTAGTTATATATTGTAGTAGTATATTGTCCAAAGCTTATATCGCTCTACCCAAGCACCACACTACACTTTTTGAGCATTCTAGTTTATACTCATTGTCCAAAATTTACTATAAATGTGTGAACCAATTGAAATTATAAACAAAGCAGAATTTTAAAAGAAAATGCCATAACTTGCTTCTTGAGCTCGAGCACTACGATTGATGTCATTTGTGAAATATGTAAATTGAAAATTTATAATTTTTATGTATTGTATATATTTATTTTAACTTATTATGACGCTTTTATGACAAATGTAGACTGTTTTTGCCTTTAAATAGATTTTTGATTTGATTTGTTTTTAGACATCTGGAGTTCAGGTCTGTCAGTATGTGTGTTGATGTCTACTATGGCGAGAATGTCAACGAATCAGCATGTGATGTGTTTTTCCATAATTTTCTGGAAGTATTTCGCTTCTAAGTTTTGTAAAAAATATTTCTTCGAGCATGGCTGAGATCTTACGGTTGAATTTAAATTTATTCGTTCTGTATTACGTTTGATAGTTTTTGTGCATATTATCGGATTTAACGTCTAATATGATCGGTAATTAAATTAGAGGATTATCTCATAATTTTAAGTCTATTGACCATTCTACGATTGAATGGCCCTGTCGACTAATTTCAGAGGGGGCGCCCCAGAATTTGTGTCAGTATTTTTCAGAGGAAAAAATCTATAAACAAAACTAGTCAATTTAAATTGAACAAATATTCAAATATAGTCCCACAGTAGGGACATTTGTTTAAAATTTTATTTGAAGAGAAATAAGAGAAAACGGCAGTGTTACAGTGTTGCCCGAATTGTGCGTGTATCAGTCAAGGTAATCAGTTCTGTTTCAGTTTTCAATTTAATGATCAAACAAGCGAAGCCGGAGGCCTACGCTCGAGATGACCGACGGCTCATTTTGAAGGATATCGAAGGAGAAAAACGGCGGATTTCATGACTGGCCAATCCTGATTTCGACTGTGGCCCCTCTGAAATCAATTCCGTCCCATTTTCATGAATGTGAGTGATTTCGTTTTTGTTCAAACCATTTAAATACGCATCAGTTTGCCTTGCTTTGCTTTTCCTCGGAGTAGGACACTTTTCCGCCCTGGCCGAGGCCGGATTCGATTTCTTACCTTTCCCAGACGAATGGAAATCCAAAAAACAGCACGGGTTTAATTGTTTTAAAATTCTTGGGAAATTCCCTCGTCGTTCGGAAAATCCGTGTTGATTTTTCAAATTGGGTGTATCGTGACATATGCGCTCTAGTCTCGTACACTGCGCGATGTTTTGACATTTTCCATCTCGTTGGATCCCATGGCTTCATGTCGAAAAACACCTTATTAAACTAGTTTATCGTATTGCTAATTAAATTTTTAACAGTTGGAAGTGGAAAATTTCCTGCCTTCCAAGGTGCTCACAAGAAAAAACAATAATACATGCCAGGCCGGGTTTGACAAGTTTTTCACATACCCATCGACATAATCCTTAATCTCCTTAACATAATTCTTAATCCAGCGTAGTGATTGTGCAGAAAATGTTAATTTTGTTTAAAAACCTACAAAAACAAACAGTCTTTAACTTTGTGTAATGCAATATTGTTGTTTCTGATCATCCAGGACTGTCTACCATCCCCTTTTTTTTGACATTCCCGCAGATTTTAGAACATGCATGGCACGGTGACAATATGCACTTTTAATTAGTAAAAGAGTTCCCATTTGCACAAATGTCACAAATCCTCACATAAACAAAGTGTTTTTTGTGCTAGGTCCCAGAGAAGATTGAGCTTTGAAATATGATACACTGTTTCGTTTAAATTCCTTCTACATGAAATCAATAATTATGATGGTACTTTCTCATTGAGTGCACCTTAAAAAAACAAAATAGACTATAAATAATTCTAGTTAGGCCGAGTTTGTCAGGTTTTCCATGTGTTCATCAATATAATTCTTAATCTCCTTAACATAATCCTTAATCCAGCATTGTGATTGTGCAGAAAATGTTAATTTTGTTTAAAAACCTACAAAAACAAACAGTTTTTAAATTTGTGCAACACAATGTGGTTGTTTCTGATCATCCAGGGCTCCATACCATCTGTTGGTTTTTTTGCTTGTCCCGTAGACCTCAGAACAATGAAAAATGACAAGGTGACAATATGAACTTTTAATAAGTAAAAAAGTTCCCATTTGTACAAATGTTATAAATCCTCACATAAACGCCACTGATAGTGTGTTATAGGTGTTTTTTGTGCTAGGCCCCAGAGAAGATTGAGCTATAAAATAGTATTCACTGTTTCATTTAAATTCCTTCTACACAAAATCAATAATTATGATGGTATTTTCTCATTGAGTGGACCTCAAACAACAAAATAGACTAAATATTTCTTGTTAGGCTGAGGTTGTCAGGTTTTCCATGTGTTCATCGACATAATCCTTTATCTCCTTAACATAATCCCTAATCCAGCATAGTGATTGTCCAGAAAATGTTAATTTCGTTTCAAAACTTACAAAAATATACAGTCTTTAAGTTTGTGCAATGCAATATTGTTTTTTGTTTTTTAACATTCTCATACATATTTGTTGATAATGTGTACTTTTACATATAACCAATGAGTTTTAAGATTCATTCATACAATACCATTCCTTGATTTTGTTAATATATACGCATTTGCACAAATATCAGAAATCCTTATATAAACAACACTGACAATGTACTGAAAAGTGTTTTGCTTTTGCTCTCAGAGAAGATTCACTGTACTGTTCAAATTCATAAGTAATGTCCAAACAAATGCCTAATGCAAAATGTCTTCTGTTTTATCAGGTTTTTCAAAGGTTCTCCCATTCAAATTGTCAATACATATAAATATTTAGGCTTAATTTTTATCCCTATACTTTCCTTTATCTTCTACCTTAAAGATCCCCACTGCGAAATATGCTCCGAATTCTATTTGGCCTAATCTCATTGATGTTAGCCGTAAATTCACATTGTTTTAGCTGTACTCATACTGTATCATATGTTATAGCCAGTTTTGGGGCTTTTAACAGTATGATGTAATTGAATACTCATCCCTGTCCTCGGTCGTCCTCATTTTCCTATACTCATTAAATTTATGAGCCTCTTATGTCTACAAGGTTCTAAATCTTACCAACCACCGGCTTCTTAAAATAGCGGAGGTTATTTTACATCTCATGTTTCTGCTGGAATGTTTGGCTCAATAATTTCATCTGAATGCCAATTTCTCTGGATAATCTTATATAACGGCTAGTATTTGCTTTTTAACTTGATAGAAAATATCCATACTCTCTATTATTTGTTCGGTTCAAGAAAATACAAAAATCCCTTCAGATTCTTACTATTACAAGATCACTTTTTTAATCAGACCTATGTTAGAGATTACTAAAATGTCCTCCATTCCTTTTGCTCGTTAGTTTTTAAATATGAGATATGCGTTGCTTCACCTTAAGTTCAACCCTACAAAAGATAATAGCTCCAACCTTATGCCCTTTATGCAACAGACGGACTAGAGAAACACTTCTCGCTTTTTTTTTTTGCAGACTGTCCAATTTTAGATGAATTCAGCTTGAGTAATTTAGGCTCACTCATGATGATAAGAATTTCAAATCGTTTCAGTTTAGTTAATTTTGCAACGGAAGTCTAGTGTTACAAAAAAGTATTAGTTTCCTATTTAAATTATTAAAAAGAAAATCTTCTTCTGTTTTACTAATTTATTTAGCTCTCCCTTTAGGTGTAAAATTAATAGTGAGATCCCCTGAAGAATATTTCAATTTGGTACAAAATTGTATAATTATATTGTAGACTATTCTTATTTGTTTACTTAAATACTTATCATTTAGAGAAGATCCAGCTTTAAAATAATATTCACTGTTTAAATTTCTTCTGCATGAAAATATTAATTATGATGGTACTTTCTCATTGAGCATACATTAAAAAGCACTGGTTATAAATAATTCTAGCCTGGCTGAGTTTGACAGATACCCATTGACATAATCCTTACTTTAATATAATCCTTAATGCATTGTTCTGGCAGAAAATGTTAATTTTGTTTAAAAATCTACAAAAACAAATAAGGTCCGGGACAAAAAAAAAAAAAAAAAAAAATAGTCCACTTAAGTATTTTATTTTTTTAATATAAAATGCAAAGTTTATTTTGCTAAAATTGGAACATTATCTTCATTAAGTGTGTGAAAAATAATTTCTAATATTCAATAAACAATACTTGATTTTTGGGTAGGACGACAAAAAGATAGCACTCTTGTTTATTTCCAAATAAAAACAAATCCCTCAAAGTAAACAAGACTAATCCAGTTCTGTTTCTGCTTTCATTCTGATAACATTTATCTGTGCAAAGGGACGAGCAAAATCTTTAACATCAGTTGAGAGAAATATTTATTCAGAGACGGAAAAAATCGAGGATTTTGCATTTCTGATATCTCAAAAAATACTGGTATGAGTAGAAAAGTGATTTTAAGCTTTTTGAAATCTCCAGAAAGCTGTGAGACAAAGAAATCTCTTGGAAGACTGCCTGCCTTAACAACAAGAAAAAATGGGCAATTTTAAGGACAGCTTCCCATTCTACTTGAACTAAACGTCACAAGAGACAAATTTTAAAAGTGTTCAAAGGGTTATTCATGCAGCTCCTCACATCAGAATGAAAAAAAATTAAAGGGATGCGACCCTTAAGTACAATGCATAAAGAAGGACGGAAGAAGTTTGCAGCGCTCTGAAATCAATACGTGTTAAAAAAATAAAATAAATAACTAGGTCAGCAGTTGATTAACATTTTACCAACAAAAACCTCACATTTATATGTGGAATTATTTTTGTCCAGATTTAGCGTAAATAAAACTAGTGTTGAAAAATTATTTTCGCTTTGTCTGAGGGAAAATTCAACTTTGATATTTTATTCACTGTTTGTTGAATTAAATACCTTAGGTTTGAAAAATGTAACCCAAAAATGCCTTGAGTAAACATCCGGCTGTAGTATAAAATAAATAGTTTTTGTTTGTTTATTTTATCAACAGCCAGTCAAAGCAGTTTTTGTGTGAATTAAAAAAAAAAATCCTGAAGTCATAAACAACTTTTGTAAGGAAGTGGAATTTTTTTTTTTTGTCTAGTATCAGATTTAAATTCAGATGTGAAATGTTAGAATGTTAGTCACTGTTATATTTAAATTTTGGCTGTAGTCTAATTTTTTCCCTCAGGCTGTCAATGTATCTGTATAATTTTCAAAAATCATTATTTTCAGTATTAGAAAGTTTTTGTTATAGGTTTTTTTTTTTTTACAGACAATCTCAAATTTCCTTGAAGACCAACTCAGTCCCGACATAGCCAAGGACTGTAGTACTATGGCAACCTGTAAAACTTAAATATATCAATCTGTAGACATATTTAAGATTGTTTTGCCTTGGTGATGACCTTAAAATAGGTCGAAAGCTTGGCAGTAGCAATTGAATTTACTGTCTTCTTCAAAACAATACCTTGATCCAGAGTGTTCGTGTGTGAAAAATCTTTAATTAGGCCCCAGAGAACATTCAATTTTGAAATGTTTGAATTTTTTATGGCTAGGGAATGTTAACCACTGCTTTATTTAAATTGTGTATACTTGGTATATGAAGAAGCTAAGCCAAGAAAAAGAAAACCTTGAATAAAGATGATTTGAGTTGGAATCCAGCATAGCCCTTGGCGTTTCAAAGTATTGTCAAGTGGTTTAAACCCGCAGTGCGTTTTGGGGCCATCTTCCCAGCTACCCTCTTCATGGCTACATGAATTAACAATAAAATTTATCCATTATGTTTAGTCGTCTTGAGCAAATTGACCAAATTACTTCTTTCAATTAATTATTCTTTTTATATAAGGTCTTGGTTGAAATAAAAAAGTTGGTGCCACGAGCGGGATCCGAACCGAATTAACCGAAGGTTCGAATTCCGCTCGTGACACTTTTTCATTTCAACCAAGGCCTTACATAAAAAGAATAATAAAATTTATGTATATTACATTAT